GGGAGCGCGGGCTGAGCTGCGCTTACCAGACTGCTGGGGATTCCAGCTGCTGCTGCTCAGCTCCCGCCTGCCCCACGCAGCCTGTGTCACCCATGTGCTCCTGTCAACAAGCCTCTTAATTCAGTGCTAACGAGTCACTCCTGCTCCTTGCAGACCCCGAGAGCTCCCTGCTCTGTCCTGGCAGGAGGAAAGCAGCCTATGCCCGGGCATCTCCTGACGGCTGAGCCCCCATCTCCATCAGCTCCACACCCCCTCGTATGTGTCTCCTCAAACAGCTCCGTGTTGCCCCTCTGAGAGCCCCTGGTGTGCACACCTGTAGCCCCACCACTGTGCTTTGCAGCAAGCCCGCAGCTGCCCCATGGAATCCACACTGTCCATGCCCTCCCTTCTGTCCCTGCAGCATCACCCCCTGTCCCCAGTGCATGCCAGCACTCCACAGGGCCCTCCGCTTCCTCCCAGCCCCACATGCTGTGTGCACACACCCCATGCAACATCCCCCCTGTGTGCACAGAAGTGACCCTCCTGTCTCTTGCGGTGACCCCTCTGCACAGCACCACATACCCTGCGGTATCCCTCAGGAGCACTTTCTCTTCCCAGCCTGCAGGCTCAGCTGCCTTTGCTGTCCCCCACACACACACACATGCCCCCCAACACCTGCCCTCTCCTCTGCAGTTCAGTTTCCCCTCTCCTCTGGTGTGGCCTCCTCCAGTGTGTCCCCACGGGCAGGGGGGCCTTGCCAGCTCACCCTGGGAAACTCCAGGGCCCGGGGCTCTGGGACAAGGCACTGTGGGTTCTCCATAGCCTTGTTCTTGCTGCAGCTCTCCTGGCAGCTCGGCACTGTGGAGGGGGCCCGTCCCCATTGCACTAATACAGGTTAGGAATATTGGGTTTAATGATCTGCAAAATGAGGAGGCAGCGAGCTGACATTTACGAATGGTGCTGCATCCTTCTCTTCCCAGACGCCTGCTAATTTGTTGATATCCCAAACACCTCATAATGATGTGGTACAGTGGCAGCTTGCAAACAAGCATCCCGAGGCCGGGAGCCTGCTGGCTGCCTGGCTCCTGGACACTCTTCACGGACTTGGCACCAGGAGAGTGGAGCTGTGGGCCAGGGGCTCCCTGCACCACAGGCAGGACCAGCCCTTGGTTCCCTGCTGTGTGCCCCACACATAGGAAGCGTTCCCCCCTCTTCTCCCTGTGTGACCACCCACTCGCCAGGGCATCCAGAGGCACCTCCACTACACCAGCTCCAAGTGGGAGAAAAGATGGGAGCTGGAGAAGGGCAGAGGGAAGGGAAAGACTGGATGGGACTGGGAGCAGAGGACAGTCGAGGTGAGAGGAAAGTTCTGCTTCAAGGGCAGGGCATGGTTCTTTGAGATCTGCTTCTCCTGCTCAGGTTGAGTGAGATCCTGCTCCTCCCTGCTGGGATGCAGGGGGAGGTGTCCCACACCATCCTGCATAGGGCAGGGGCTGCTGAGCTGTGCTGCTTTTCCTCTCCAAGATCCCCTGCTGCTTCCACAGGTGACCATGACAGATCCACTGGTTCTGGGCATCTCAGCCCACCTTTGGGCAGCAGAGCTCTGTCCCACCCTGGTTTCTTGATGGGGCTTTTCCCTCACCCTACCTGGCAGGAGGACGTGGTCTCCATCCCCCCGTTCCTTCCCTGTCCCGGGGAGCTCAGCCCTGAGGAGATGCTTCCTCCCAAGGTGGCCTGTTGGCGGGGGGGCTTCTGGCTGCCCCTCTGAGCAGGGCGACTCCAGGAGGGCTGGCAACTGCCCACGTGCTGCAGGAGTCCCCAAGCCCTCAGCTGGGACCTCAGTTGCTGCTGGGCTCTCCCTGGTCCTGCTCCCGCCCGCAGCCTCGTTGGCAGGCAGTGCTGGAGCTGGGTTGGGGGGTTAACGCCCATTAGCAGTGCCGGCTCCCACCGACCTCTGCTCACAACTCTTCACAGAGCTCAGTCTTTAAAACATCATCAAAAAATCATCAAGAGAGAGAGAGAGACAAGAGTGTTCGTTTCCACTGCCCACTAATTCTAATGGAGCTGGAATAATGGACTCCCACCAGCATGTCTGCAGGGGCAGGGGAGTGGGCTCTGTCTTCTGGCCCAGGGATAGCCTCTCTTTCCTGAGAAGGCTGGAAAGGGCTCCCCAGTCCTGTAGGAGAGGCTTCCTCCAGGACCTTCACCCTGTTGAGTCTGAGCTGGCAAGTTCTGGAGCTCTTCTGGACACCAGGAAGGAGCCTGTGCCCTGCACACAGTGCAGGGAAGGGCATTGGGCCAGCAGAGGTAGTCAGACCTTCTGCCTGTGTCATCTGCTTTGTGCTACCCTTGCATCTGTCCAGAAATGCCCCTGCTACATCAGACATGGGTGCCTCTTCCCAGAAAAATCTGAGAAAGCCCCCTCCTCTCTCTAGAGCTGTGACCTGAGTCTGATTCAACTCATATGGGGCCCCCAGGGAGCTCATGAGCTCATCTGAGCAGCTGGATCCACACACAGTTGGAAGCTGCTCCGAGTCCTGAAGCCTTTCCCAGCTCTGCCAGATCCTGCCTGTGAACCCAAGGGTGTGATCCCACAGCTCCCTGCTCTCCTGCCATAGCCATGCCCACCTCCAAAGAGCCCTGCTCCTGCCACACTGTCCCTGTTGCTGCAGAGAAGGAGAGGCAGTGATTTTGCTTGCGAAAGAAGCTTTAGTGTGGCAGAAAAGCTGTCGTCCTTTGTTAGCTCTTCCCAGGCTCTGCTGAGAGCAACGGGCCCTTTGTTCAGAGTAGAGCTGGAATCCATGAGGCACAAAGGAGAAGGGAATGGAGGTCCTGTGGCTTGCCAAGCTGGTGCTGAGGCTTCGGTCTGACTGGGATCAGTGACTGGACTGGGACTGGGCAGCCTCAGGGCTCCAGGATGCCCCAGAACTGTGTTGGTGGCACAGTCTGTCTTGGTGGGGTTAGAGCCCCAGATATGTCTCTGTTTGCTTGTGGTCAGGTGTGGGCAGCCCAGCAGGGACCCTGGCAGAAGGGAGCCTGCCCCTCTGCCAGCATCCTGAGCAGGGGACTGGGACACAGTCCCCTTGCCAGCTCTGCTGGGAAGTGAACTGGCACAGGAGGGCTGGGATTTCTGCCAGCCTGTTTGGTGGAGAGGTACTGACCAAGGAAGAGAGAGGAACAAGGATCATTCCATGGCAAGCATCCTCTCCATGTCCCAGAGACCTGCTGTTGTCTCAGTGGCAGCAGAAGTGGCCAGCAAAAGAAGCAGGGAGCACTCAGAATGCATCCAGGACTTCCCAGGTCCCAGCAGCTGGCGTGGGCTGCCCAGCACACTGACAGGAGCTGCAGGAGGCTCAGGCCAAGGATGGCAGAGATCTGAGGATAACAGAGCCTGTTCAGATATATTGAGGTGTCCCAGGAGTGGCTCTGTTGGTCCTAACAGTGTCGCCCAATCTGAGATCTAGGAATTGCAAACGCTTCCTCAAGCACCTGGGCAGTCACTGTCCCCAGGAAGAAATGCCACTCCTTCCTTCCTGAGAAGCTGTGACTGTCCCATCCCTGGCAGTGTTCAAGGGCAAGTTGGATGCGGCTTGGGGCAACCTGGTCTATTGGGAGGTGTCCCATGTAGGGGTTGAGACTGGATGATCCTTAAGGTCCCTTCCAACCCAAACTATCCTGTGGTTCTGTGATTATGTGATTAATACTTCACCCTGGGCAGCCATCAGGGGCCTGGTCCTGACTCTCTTGCAGCCTTTTGCAGAGACAGAAAGAACTGTCTGTCAGAACAGCTGGAACACTCAAGTCCCTGTCTGCAGATCCCTCACAGGTTGGGATGGTGGGAGCAGCAGCTAAGATTGGCTGTGCCCTTGATGGGACCCAGCTGGTGGTCTCTGCACCCACTCTGCCCTGCTGGGGAGCTGTGGGCTGCAGCAGGTTCCTCAGCTATTGCCCTCCTGTTGCTTCCCCTCCACTGGAAGAGGCTCCTCTGGCTGCAGCTTGTGGGGGAGAGTCAGGCAGAGGAGAGGACCCCCCTGGCCTCCTCTGCTCGCCTCTCCTGCTCCAGGCCCTGCCAGGCTTCACAGCACTGCCTGGCTAAGGACCAGGCTGGGCCCCTCGGCCTCCTGGCTGTCTCTGGAGCCGTGCAGTTGACTCCCTGCTTTTAATAGAGAGCTGGGAAGGCACATTATGGAGATGAGGGTGTTATTTGCATAACGCTAATTAGGTAATTACAAATCATTTTGCTATGAGCTGAAGCGTGTGCTGTGACATAACGTTTATTAGTCATTCCATTCAGGCCCCGCTTAGTTAAGTCATTTACTGCACTAACTACTGAAGTTGGCAATAAAAGGTAAATGCTGGTGCTTGGGTGCAAAGCTGGGACAGGCACCTCGTGACCATCCAGGGCTCCAGCGCCCGGTGGGTGCAGCTGGTGGGCACAGCCCCCCAGCCCCAGCTGGGGCAGGGTTACAGCAACGTGAGCAGCAACGTGAGCAGCAGCGAGGGGAGGCCACCCTGTAAGCTTTGCTTTTCAGCAGCCTCTTGGTCTGGGGGGGGCTGAGGTGCCTTCACACGTGTCTGCTCTCCCCCATCAGTGCTGCTGGCTCTGCCGCCTCGCACTCAGTGCCTGTGCCCTGACATCCTCCCTGGCACCCTCCAGCCCTGCTGCCTTTGGCGGGATGCTGATGCTTCCCTTCATGCCGTGGCAGGGTGAGCAACCCTTGGGGCTCACCAGGAACATCTTCCCCGAAGACAGAAAGCCAGGGGTTTGTCCCCACATTTCACACCAGCAAAGGGCTTTCATATCCAGGCTGTATCTTCTGGGGTTACTTGCAGGTCACAGATGCTGGTGCTGTGCAAGTCATCTGGCCCTGCAGGTATCCCTGCTGTCCACATGCCGAGTGGAAGCAGCTCGTCCTGGCCAGCTTCCAGAGATGCCTGTGGCCTCCTGCTTCCTGGGTTTGGGAGCTGGAAGCACCGGGCAGTGCCAGCGCTGAGAACAGTGTCGCTCTGGCCACGGCTCCTGGTGGGATCCCTGTGACTTCATGCACCTCTGTGGGAGAAGAGCAGCAGCCATGCTGCCACATGGCTCTGTGAGGTGCCCAGGCTTCCCGGGTGGGATCTGGCCCTGCCACACTCCTCAGCTGGCAATGGTGCCCCTTTCCAGTGCACAGACTGGGAGGAGCTGCCTCTGAGCCCCCCACAAGGGCCCTCCTTGCACCTCCTGAGTCAGCCCCTCAGGGCCACTCCTCAGCAGGCACTAAGTGCTCTGAGAGCCCTGGGGGTGACGGGGCTGTTGGGGACACCAACAGGAGCTGATTTCACTGCTCAAGAAGTCAGCAGCTTTCTCTGAGGGTGGGACATGCAGGGCATGGAGAGCAGGGCATGAGCAGCTTCCAGCAGCCTGGTGCTGCAGCCTCCTGGGTTTCCCAGCTGGGATGGTGGGGGATGAGGCTGTGGATGATGGTGTGCAGAAGAAAAGGAAGTCCCATGCATGTGGAGCTGGTGCGAGCAGGACGGGCTGGCACAGAGCTCCCTGCAGGCACCAGCCTGAGGGGATCTGTCCGATCTCACACCCCACGAGACTAGCTGACCCCCTTGTTCCCTGACCCATCATGGCATGCCTTTCTTTTCCAGAACCAGATGAGCCATTTGAGTTCATTATCGTGTCCCTGACGGGCCAGACATGGCTCTTTGAGGCCTCAACATCAGAGGAGCGAGAGCTTTGGGTCCAGGCCATCGAGAGCCAGATCCTGGCCAGCCTGCAGGGCTGTGAGAGCAGCAAAAATAAGGTGAGAGGCCTTAGCTGAGTCCTGCTTTGTTCCCTCCTCTCTGGCATCTAATTTGCTGCATGCTTCCCTGTCCCATCCTGATCCTTCTGCTCCCATTCAGGGTTGATCCTGGCCCTGAGACTGTCCTGCCCTCTGCCCTGGGTTTTCCTGAACCCTTCAGAGCTCCCTGTCTTCTCCTCAGCCTATCTCCAGTCCCACGGGGCACTCTGCATCCCACCAGGGATGGATCCTGTGCTGTCCACACTCTCCTTTGGCAGCTCTGCCTTTACTCTCCCCACTCTGGCCTGCCATCCCTGCTCCTCCAACACACACCCAGCTATGAATCCATGTTCCCTCCTGACCCTGCTCTCTGGGCCCCGTGCTGAGCACTCCTGCAGCAGAGCCCGCGGGGAGCCCGGTGAGGTGCTGCTGGCTCCTGATGGGCTCTTGGGGGGCCATCAGAGGATCCATGTTGGGGCGTCTGTCCCTCAGTACCTGGGTCTCCCTTGTGCTTTGTTCCAGGCTCGGCTGGGCAGCCAGGGCCACGCGCAGGCCATGCAGGCCGTGC